CCGACACCCCATGCGCCGGAATGGCACACCCCGACACCCCATGCGCCTAATGGCACACCGCATGCGCCGGAATGGCACACCCCGACACCGCATGCGCCGGAATGGCACACCCCGACACCCCATGCACCGGAATGGCACACCCCGACACCCCATGCACCCTGCTGTCTCTCTGTCTCCCACCCCCGGGCTCACCTGGCCTCCACTGCCGCCCTCCCTACCGGGCGCCCCGCCGCCGCCGTGGGTGAGCAGTGGGCGACACTCTCGGAAACCGCCGGCCTCTACCTCCTCCTCGTCCTCCGGCTGCTGCTGATGCTGCTGCCCGTGTCCGTCCTCGGGCTGCCCGAGGACCAAGCCGAGAGCTGGGGGTGCGGGCCTGGTATCTTCCTGAAGGAGCGGCTGGTGAGGCGGCGGGGCCTGATGCTGCCGGAGCCCGGGGCAGACACTGGCCAGGGCCGAGAGGGAGGTGGACAGCTCCCTCCAGTTCTGGGGGTCCAGGCTCCGGGCCTGGCCCGCCGCCTCCTCCTCTTCCTCATCGTCGTCGTCGTCGTCCTCCTCCTCTGACTCGAGGCCCCGGCTCTGCCCCCGGCTCCGGCCCTGCCCTCGGCCTCGGCGGCGCACCACCAGCACGAAGCGCACCGTCTCGCCCAGGTAGACCTGAGCCCGGCGCGGCAGGCCGCGGTAACGCCGGTAATCCGGCACCGGGCCGGCCGGAAAATACATCAGGTACTCGCAGAGGGACTCCATTGCCCCCCGCCTGGGCCCGGCCTCCGCCTCCACCTGCACCTGCACCCAACCCCCTTCACCATGGCAACCGCCGGCCCCGGGGGGTCAGCCGCAGCGCCACTCGGAGGAGCAGCGGCGGCGGGGGAGAACTACAAGGGAGCGAACACCGCCGGCGGGCGTGGGAGGCCTATGAACAGTGCCACTCGGAGGAGAAGCGGCAGCGTGGTGAACTACAAGGGAGGGAGTACCAGCTGCGAGATTGAGAGGACCAGGAACATCTCCACTCGGAGGAGCAGCGGCGGTGGGAGGAACAAACGGAAAGCGGGAGCATCACCGGCGGGAGTGGGAGGACCAGGGACAGCACCCTTCGGAAGACCAGCGGCAGCGAGAGGAACAACGGGAGAGGGCGCGCCACCGGTGGGAGTGGGAGGACTAGGAACAGCGACACACGGAGGAGCAGCGGCAGCGGGAAGTCCAGCGGCAGAGGGAGTGGGAGGACCAGCGCCATCTGGAAGGAGGGCGAACCAGCGGGACTGGGAGGGCCAGCGGGAGTGGGGAGGAGCAGCGGGAGGTGAGGAGCAGCGCCACTCGGAGGACTAGCGGGAGGGAGAGGAATAGCGGGGAGGCCGTAATTTTACGACGCTGAAACGCCCTTCGGCCCATCGTGTTGGTGCCAGTCATCAAACATCCATCAATTCTCATCCCATTTCCCAGCACTTAGGCCTTGAGCGTTGATTAGCCGTAGTCATATTGAATAGCAGAGCAGGCTCAAAGGGCCGAATGGCCTACTCCTGCTCCTATTTTCCACGAGTTGCACCCAGAATGTGTCATTTGCAGGCTTTTCCTTCTCAGCAATAATCAACCCTGATTCCCAATGACACGTGAGACCAGGATAATGGCTACATTGGGCTCAGGAATTTCCTTTGTCTGATATCTGCCCCTTGCCTTCAGCCCGCACTGTCAAAGACGCTCTTTCTTTCTTTATCCATTCGACTGGTCCAGCCGCCACTCCTCCTGCCTCACCATTGCTATCTGCTGCTGGAGGTCCCATTCCATGTCGTCACTCACAACAATTTCCATAAGAATGCAATAATGCTCCTCTCCAGTCTCTCCCATCTACCTCCCCCTCTGGGACTGGTGAGTTCCTTTGGAGACGCCAACTGAAGAATTGTGTCTGCTCATGCAGGAGCTCCCTTCGAGTCGGTTTCTTCTGAATAAAGGTATCTCGTGCGTTGATGGCTATGTTGCATTTCTTGAGGGAAGTCCTTTAGCGAAGCTTGGAAATGCTTCCTTTACTCCCCTCTCGTTCAAGCGCCTTCCTCAAGCTGGGGGAAGCTCACCCTTATTCCAGTCAACCAACACCACATTTTTTTTCATTTATTTACTCACGTGATGTGGCCATTGCTGGCTAGGCCAGTATTTATTGCCCATCCCAGAGAGCAGTTAAGAGACGAAAGCATTGCTGTGGGCCTGGAGTCACATGTAGGCTAGACCAGGTAAGGATGGCAGTTTCCTTCCCTAAAGGGCATTTGCGAACCAGGTGAGTTTTCCCCCCCAACAGTTTCATGAGCATAATTAGATTCTTATTAATTCTAGATTCTTTATTGAGTTCAAATTCCATCATCTGCCACGGTAGGATTTGAACCCAGGTCCTCTAGACCCGAAACATCAGCTTTCCTGCTCCTCTGATGCTGCTTGGCCTGCTGTGTTCCTCCAGCTCTACACCTTGTTGTCTCAAGAACCTTAGCTGAGCTTCCTGGATTAATAGCCTAGCGATAATACCACTAGGCCATTATCTCCCTATTGTGGGCGAATAGAGCTGATGCCAAAAACATGAGTGAGATGTCCTGACATTACTGATCGACAATGAAATTGAATTCATTTACACTTTATGTCAAGGTGTTCAGAGGTCGTGTCGGACTGTGATCAGAGTGCATGCCTCCAAATCAGATTTTCGAGACCCACTCTAACCCCTGAAGACCACAGAACATGCCCAGAGTGCAGTCAATAGCAACTTGTCAATCTTTCTGTCACACAGTAAGAATAGGAGAGATTCCTCTTCAGCCTGTGAAAGTGGAACCTGTCTCACCACTATCTATAGGTTACTTCAGAGCACAACAGGAGCTTGATCAGATGGGCCGAGGAGTGGCAGATGGAGTTTAATTTAGATAAATGTAAGGTGCTGCATTTTGGAAAGGCAAATTAGGGCAGGACTTATACACTTAATAGTAGGGGACTGGGGAGTGTTGCTGAACAAACAGACCTTGGAGTGCAGGTTCATAGTTTCTTGAAAGTGGAGCCTCAGGTAGACAGGCGGTGAAGAAGGTGTTTGGTACGCTTGCCTTTATGGGTCAGTGCATTGAGAATAGGAGTAGGGAGGCCATGCTTGGGGTGGCACGGTGGCTCAGTGGTTAGCACTGCTGCGTCACGGCGCCAGGGACCCGGGTTCGATTCCACCCTCAGGCAACTGTCAGTGTGGAGTTTGCACATTCTCCCCGAGTCTGCGTGGATTTCCTCTGGGTCCTCCGGTTTCCTCCCACAGTCCAAAGGTGTGCAGGGTAGGTGGAATGCCGTGCTAAATTGCCCAGGAATGTTTGGGTTAGGTGGGTTAGACGTGGGAAATGTGGGGTTCGGGGAATGGGTTTGGCTGGAATGCTCTACGGAGGGTCGGTGTGGACTTGTTGGGCCAAATGGCCTGTTTCCACACTGTAGGGATTCTATGTTGCGGCTATACAGGACATTGGTTAGGCCACTTTTGGAATACTGTGTTCAATTCTGGTCTCCCGGCTATAGGAAAGATGCTGTGAAACTTGAAAGGGTTCAGAAAAGATTTACAAGGATGTTGCCAGGGTTGGAGGGTTTGAGCTACAGGGAAAGGCTGAATAGGCTGTGGCTATTTTCCCTGTAGCGTCGGAGGCTGAGGGGTGACCTTATAGAGGTTTATAAAATCATGAGGGGCATGGATAGAGTGAATAGACAAGGTCTTTTCCCTGGGGTAGGGGAGTCCAAAACTAGAGGGCTTAGGTTTAAGGTGAGAGAGGAAAGATTTAAAAGGGACATAAAGGGCAGTTTTTCGCACAGAGGGTGGTGCGTGTATGGAATGAGCTGCCAGAGGAAGCGGTGGAAGCTGGTACAATTACAACATTTAAAAAGCATCTGGATGGGTACATGGATAGGAAGGGTTTAGCGGGATATGGGCCAAATGCTGGCAAATGGGACTAGATTAATTTAGGATATCTGGGTCAGCATGGACGAGTTGGGCGGAAGGGTCTGTTTCCGTGCTGTACAACTCTACAGCTCTATGTAAAAAGTGCTTGTTTCTATGGTAACTCAGACTCCCCCTAAATAAACCACACCATGACATCTGTGGTGTGTAACGTCAGTCCTCTGGAGCTTTAAGTGATGCGGTGCGAAGGGACAGTTTTGGAAGGCAGTTATTTGTGAGAATCATTTGCAGATTCCTTTGCAGTTTTGGGAATTTGGATCACCTCTGGTTAACATGGTGTACCATCAGCCCAACAAAAAGGGAGAAAAAAATTCAAAGCACACTGTTAAATCATTTCTCATCCGGTTGCAAATTCAAAAACATCAAATGCTTGCAAAGATGTCGATACGCTGGCTGGGCATATAAACAGCAAACCTAATTTTCAATTTCCATTGTGGCTCATTTCCAAAGCAGCCACGGCTGTACAATGCCTCTCAACTTTACAGCAGCACAAAAGGGGCATTGTTTGATTGCTTCTCCTTTGTGGTAGAATTGCTATTGCCAATTTTATTCTGCTCCAAGGCTCTCCTGTTTAACTTCACACCTTCCGTTCTCCGTAGACATGAGCTGGTCCACAATGCCGCTACTCAGACCCTTACCCTTACTGAGTCCTCTTCACCCTCCAATGCCTGCTGACCTACATCGGCCTGCAGTTTTAAACTCCCATCCTTGTTTTCAGATCCCTCCATGGCCTAGCCATGTTCTTTTATCTGTGGTTGTTACAACAATAGTCTTGTTTTTACCTGCCCTGCATGCTTCATGCAACGAGGACAAACCAGGGTCCATTTTATTTCAGTGTTACGTTTGTGGCCCTGTTCGTTCAATAAGTAATCTGAATGCACAGCCATTTGCACTGTGCATTGCCCCAAGTTGCTGACTGTGTACACAACTCTTCTCATGCGTTATTCTCATCAGTTCCCATGTTTATTTTACGCAGAGTCTTTAAGTCACCCTGGCCTCCCTAATGGTATGCGGGTGCATTGTCATTGGCTGTTTGTCTGGGTGACGTTCCATCTCTGGGGAGTGTCACTTCTTGTCACCGCAGTAACTTGTTCCTTTTCTGTTGTGGTCTGTACAGATGTTGGCTTCACACCTTCCTAAAGCTGTGAAGGAGCAGCCTGTACAGTTATGCGTGTATGCCTACAGCTGTGACAGTATGTCTGGTTCTAAGACATGCGGTCAAGTGGATGTAAGAACATAAGAAATAGGAGCAGCTGTGTGCCATTTGGCCCATCAAGCTTGCTCCGCCATTCAATAGGATCATGGCTGATCTTTCTCGTGGACTCAGCACCACTCACTTGCCTGCTCACTGTAACCCTTAATTCCTTTACTGTTCCAAAATCTATCTTTGCCTTCAAAATATCCTCAACTACTTCACTGGGCAGGGAATTCCACACATTCACAAGCGTTTGGGTGGAGAAGTACATAGCACATAGAACAGTACAGCACAGTATAGGTCCTTCGGCCCATGATTTTGTGCCGAACTTTTACCCTAATCCTAAGGTCTATCTAACCTCCACCCCTACCTTATACTATCATCCATATGCTTATCTAATAGCCACTTAAATGCCCTTAATGAGGCCAACTCCACTACCCTCTCCGGCAATGCATTCCATGCCCCTACCACTCTCTGAGTAAAGAACCTACCTCTGACATCTCCCCTATATCTACCTCCACTCACTTTAAAACTATGCCCCCTTGTAATAGCTACCTCCACCCTAGGAAAAAGTCTCTGGCCGTCCACTCTATCTATACCTCTGATCATTTTGTACACCTCTATCAAGTCACCTCTCATCCTTTGTCGTTCTAAAGAGAAAAGCCCTAGCTCTCTCAACCTTTCCTCGTCAGACCTTCCCGCCATTCCAGGCAACATCCTGGTAAATCTCCTCTGCACCTTTTCCAACGCTTCCACATCTTTCGTGTAATGAGGCGACCAGAACTGGACACAATACTCCAGATGTGGCCAAACCAGGCTTTTGTATAGCTGGAGCATAACTTCACGGCTCTTGAACTCAATCCCTCTATTAATGAAAGCTAACACACCATACGCCTTTCTTAACAACTCTATCCACCTGGGTGGCAGCTTTCAGGGTACCTCCTCATCTCAGTCCTAAATCTGCTGCCCCTTATTTTGAGGCTATGCCCCCTAGTTCTATTCCCACCAAACAGTGGAAACAACCTTCCTGCTTCTA